GAAAGAGCAAGAACCCCACTCTGCCTGTTCTCCAGACCGTCCGTGCTGCCCCCTCCACTGGGACAGGAGCCTGGCATGCCTGGGAGATGTGGGCAGATGGGCTCTGAGCATCAGGAGTGCAGGGTTGGGGTCTGAGTGCGTGGCCTGAGGTATGCGGTGGGGGCAGGTCAGTCTCTGCTCAGGCTGCTTCTCACAGGGCAGCAGAATACTGTGCAGGTGATCTACAACTGGAGCATGGCATGGGCTGTCTCTGGCCCTGGCACTCCCGTCCCACCAGCTTGACTCCATGCTGCTGCTCCTGATTCACCCCAGAACTGGGCGGCGGCAGGGGCTGCACCCAGAAGTTGTAAAATTATTTTCCCCCCGCTGAGTTAGTGGCCAGTGATTGAGTCACTTTGGCTTCTGCTGTCTGTCGGGAGATTTCTCCCCTCTGCTGCTCTAAGCCGTCCTGTCGAGATGCACAGCTACCGAAACCAGAACAAACGCTTCCCAGCCTGTAGAGCGGGCTTTCAAAACTAGCCCATCTCGGGGACAGGCCAGCAAATTGGCAGCTGTTCGGGCCCCAAGCCTGCCCAGCCTGACCTGGTGGCATCCGGTAGGAATGTGGTGGTGGTATAGAACTGTGATAACACCGATCTGGCAACTTGAATGTCGTGTTTCTCTGCAGAGGCCTGGTCTGCACATAACATGTATGTGGACCCCCCCCCCCCCAAGCGCAGTGATGCCCCCCCACCCCACCCCGGTGTTGTACTTAAAGCACTGCACAGGATCTTTTTAAATACATGGAGATCTACCTATCTCCTAGAGCTGGAAGGGACCCCGAAAGATCGAGTCCAGCCCCCTGCCTTCACTAGCAGGATCAAGTACTGATTTTGCCCCAGATCCCTAAATGGCCCCCTAAATAGCAAGGATTGAACTCACAACCTGGGTTTAGCCGGCCAATGCTCAAACCACTGAGCTATCCCTCCCCTGGGGGAATAAGGCAAAGCGCCACATTTATTGGTAATACATGTATCAAGCAACACTGTATCCTATGCATATGATCTATATTACACTCATGCACTCACACACAAACACACACAAGCACACTCCGTCTTGTTGTTGTTACCAATTAGTTGCTCCCCTTAACTTCACTGGCCAGGTGAGTTAGATGGGGGAGGGGTGGAGCCCAGGGCCACCCAGAGGGGGGGCAAGTGGGGCAATTTGCCCTGGGCCCCGCAGGGGCCCCGCGAGCCCTGGCTGAGTATCCCTTTCCTGGCTAGAGGCGTCTTTTTACTTATCCGGCGGCGGTCCGGTCTTCGGCATTTCGGCGGCAGGTCCTTCAGTGCTGCCGAAGACGCGGAGCGACTGAAGGACCCGCCGCAGACTGGGAGAACCCCCTGGTGAAGTATGTCCACTCCCCCGCTTTGCCCCAGGCCCCCTAAATCCTCTGGGCGGCCCTGGTGGAGCCGGGCTTCTGCCGATACGGATCAATGCTCCGACATTGACAAGACAAGATCCCGGGTCCTCTGCAAGACACCCCACATTTATAGCAGCTTCCCTCTCATGCAAATCTGTATCTGTGTTGGTTGGTCCTTTGTGCTGCTTCTTTCTGGGTGTTGTCCCAATGCTGTTCAAAAAGGGTGATGGCTGTAGCTGTCTGGAGGTACTTGCCTTCCTCATTCACACACCTCGTCATTCAACAGGGCAATTGATTAACCGGGCGCCGGGGATCTTATTCTACTCCTAGCAAAAAGACATTTTTTGAACATTATAACAAGGCTCAATAGAAAGGTTTCTATGTAAGGATCTGATACAAAGCTGTATGAAACTAGAGGCATAATACAAAGTTATGTGAAGATGCTTAATGCAGAGATTTCTCTACGCTGGCCCCCGGTGATGGAAGACCGCTGCTCTCCACCTAGCTGCTGTTGCTTGGGGAGGTGGAGGAAACCCCTCCGTGGCTTTGGCTGCATCTGCGTGCACAGGAGTCCCTGGGCCCTCGACATGGTTCCCTGTTGCCCTTGCTGCTGGAGCAGGAGGGGGCGAGTGCCCGGGGAGGGCAGCCGGGCGGGGATGTGGCTAGTGCTTCAAACCTGGTTTGGCCGGAGGAGGTGGAGCTTCGGCCCAGGAAGGGTTGGGCTGGGGGGGGCTGTGCTGCTTCCAAGAGGTCAGGTCAGGCCCCCCCGGGTGTGAATCATCAGCCAGGCCCGGCTGGGCATTGCCAGCTATGGTACGGGGCTGGCCATGGGGCAGCTCTGGGGCTGAGGCAGGCAGTTAACTGCAGGGCAGGTGGCAGGGTGAGCCCGTGGCAGCCCCATGGCGCTGTGCTGCCCGGCTGCGTGCGATGCTCTGCACATCACTGGCTGCCAGGGGGTCTGTGTCCTCGCTGCCACCCTGAGCTGGGCTCCATCCTTCCCGGGCAATCGCTCCACCTCACCGACCCTGGACAGCCCGGCCCGGGCCTGTAGTGGTGCGTGTGGCTGGGACCCTGGGGCTGGAGCGTTAGCGATTCTGTTGTGGAAATAGACTCCAGCCCCCGAGCCGAGGATCGACTCGCCCCCTCCCCCTGTGCCGGGGGCTCTGCGGGGCCAGGGATCGACTCCTGGGCAAGGGGCAGCTCCCACCATGCACTGGTCCATGTGGCTAGGAGGGCCGGAGCGTTGCATCCCGGGCCTGCCTATTCCCCTGCTGCCCCTCTCCGAGAGCTGCTGTGAATCTCAGCCCAGCATTCTGTGTGGCTGGCGCGCTGGGCCTGTCCCTGGATCCTGCAATCGGCTGGCAGCGCGGGGGGTGATCTGGGAATTCACGCCTGGCTGGGCACTGAGAGGCACTGGGAGCTCTCCAGCCGGTGCTGAGCAACGTAATGAGCTCTCAGGGCTGCAGATAGTCGCTGGGCTGCCCCGAGCTGGGCGGGCACTCAGAGGGCTGGCAGGATGGGTGGGGGTGCAAAGGGCAGGCAGGCTGGCTGTTGTGTTAGTGCAGAGACAGGAAGTGGCTGTGGCGCGGTGTTGTGGCACAGCCTGTGTCAGGGCAGGGGGCTTGTAGGGGCTCTGGTAACTGGCTGCTGCCTGAGGCTGTTGAGGGGGTGTCCCTGGGGGGAGGGGCTGTTGAGGGGGTGTCTGTACCGAGGGGTGAGGGGTGATGCCAGCATACTGGGGAGAGCGCTGCCCTCGGATGTGGGTTGGTCTGGCTGGCCCATGGTGCTGCAAGCCCTGGGCAGCGGCTCCCCAGGCTTGGCACAGGGGGGCATTGTTGGGCTGGGCCCTGTGGCAGGGGGGCGCTGGGGGTCGGGAGCTGCCTTGCAGCAGCACCCAGGAGGCAAGGCCCGAGCACAGCCGTAGCGCCATGGCGACGCAGCCTGGTCCCCTGAGAGCTGCTGGGTCTAGGAGTCGTGGCCTGGGATGGGGGAGGCAGAGGGAGCCGTGCCCAGCGCGATGCTACGGGGCAGGGGCCCTGGCAGCCCCAGAGTGGCACCTGCCTGCTCCCTGCCCACCGTCCCTGTGCCAGGCCCCCTTGCTCCTACCCACCACACTCACTGTGGGAGGCTGGGGGCAGCGAAGATGGCTGCTGGCAAGATGAAGCAGGGACATGGGGGGGGGCAGTACTGGCCCCAGTCTCCCCTCTTCCACCCCACTGCCTCAGATTCCCTCCTCACAGCCCTGCCCCAGCTCCTCCCCGCTGCCCCAGGCACCGCTGCTCAGGGGCACCCCCTCCTGGGGGGGGGTACTGGGGAGGCCAGTGGGGTTCAGGGCTGAAGCTCCATGAGGCGTCCCCCGGCCTGCCCTGTGCACTGTCCCCCATTGTCCCAGAGCCGGGATCCCTGACACCGGCGTGGGCCTTGGGCACTGCCGCCCTGACCGGTACATGCCCTTCCCAGGAACCTGCCTCTGCCTGGCCCCAGGGGCTTGGCCCGGACTCTCTCCTGAGCCCTTCCCAGGCAGGGACTCGTGGCGGGGGATTGCTGGGGCACCGGATGTCCCCGAGCTCATGGCAGAATGTTCCTGCCTCGCACGGCAGCCGGGTTTAGCTGCACACAGCACAGGCAGGCCTGGGGTAGCACAGAGAACAAAGTTACAGCCTGGTCATAGACTCACAGAATCTCAGGATTGGAAGGGACCTGGGGCGGTATCTAGTCCAACCCCCTCCTCAAAGCAGGACCAACCCCCAACCCAGCCAGGGCTTGGTCCATCTTGGGCTGCCCCGAGTCCTATAACACCTCTTTTGTCCCAGTTCAGGAGACTCCAGCTTCCAACAGCCTCCACTTAACAACCCTGCCTGGCCCCTCTCAGTCCTTGTTCTTGTTCCCAGGCGAAGCTGGCTGGCTTCCTGCGGAGGGGGGAGGGGGGTGTGCATGGGCCATCCATGGTCATTAGTTGCTAGGTACCAAATGTCAGAGCATTGGAGTGGCCGTACCCCAGACAGCTAGGTCAATCACACCTGGCTCTCTGCAGAGGGTGAACAACCTTTTCCCCACTGCTAGTTGATGCAGCATATAGGGGAAACTGAGGCACGCACAGTGTTCATACAGAATATTACAGAAAAGTCCCACTCGGTCAAAGGGCCTAGCCAGTTTCTTGTCATGAAATGGCCACAGGGTCCTTGTGAGCTCTCAGGGGCTCCAAGAACTGTGGGGAGCCCAGCGCTGGGCTAGCAGGGGGCTGCGGGTTGGGAGTGAGAGGCACCGGCAGAGCTGTGGGGGTGCCCAGGACTGGGCTAGCAGGGGCTGTGGGTCGGGATTGAGGGGCCACCGGCAGAGTTGGTGGGGTGAGTCCACGTTTCATGAGCCCTAACGTCCCCTCGCCATTTGTACCGGGAGGAAGGAGCCACCCCTGCTGAGGGAGCAGCGGGCAGTGCCAGCGTGTGGATTCTGGAGAGCTGGGGGCTGCCCAGTGCCATGGCTGGGGATCAGGCTGTACCGTGGGGGTGCTGGGATGCCCAGGGGTGGGTCTGGCTCTCTGCCCAGGCTCTAAGCATGGAGCCCTGGACGCACTGACGGGCATGTTGCTGGCTCTCCCCAGGCTCCTCCGAGAGACCCGTGTGGTGGTTTGAGAAGGACGGAGTCACCAACTACACAACCCTGCTGCTGAGCCCAGACGGGGGAACCTTGTATGTGGGGGCGCGAGAGTTCCTCTTCGCCCTCAACACCAGCCACTTCCAGCCTGGCCCGCAGCACCAGCTCGTAAGTCGCCTGGCAGTGCCGGGAGAGCAGGCGCAGGGGTGGACCAGCCCCTGGGGCGAAGGGAGCACACTGGCTGGTTGGCCGGGCGGGCGGGCGGACAGGGGCTCCCGTGAGATTCCCTCCCCAGCACTCCCAGTGTCTCTCCCGAGCCCTACAGGTGGCTGCATGTTCTGGGAGCCGGCAGGACAGCGAGCTGGAGCTGATGAGTTCAGCACCAAGCAGGGCCCTCTCAGCTTTCCCGCACCCCACACCCTGCTGGCTCCCTGGCCTGGGGGGAGCGGGGTGTCTCCTTGTCGCCTCTGGGCTCTGAGCCTCCGGCCCAGGCAGCGTTTCCCAGCGTGGCCGGCAGTGGGATGCCCCGCCGCAGCTGTGGGCCTGTCACCGGAGGAAGGGCCGTGCCGGCTGCTAGCGGGGGCACTGCCAGGGAGAGCTCTCCTGATAACCATCCCCCTCGCCCACAGCTGCCCTGGAGTGCGGACAAGGAGAGGAAGAAGCAGTGTGCGTTCAAGGGCAAGGACCCCCAGGTGAGCCCCCGGGGCACAGCGCACTGCCAGCCCGCCTGTGCCAAGAGACGGCGGGGATGGGACATCAGCGCCAGGACTGGGGAGACGGGCCCAAAGCTGGGGAGAAGCCTTGAACTGAACCTGCTCAGTGGGGCAATGAAAGCCAGAGTGGGGCCTGCAGCCAGCCCTCATAGCGCTGCCTGGATGCAGTCCCCTAGGGGGTGCTGTGGGGCAGAGGCTCAGCAGGGGGCGCTCTCCAGGCAGTGCTGGCCCATTGCCCGAGGGTGGCACCAGTGGGCGCTGCGCTGCAGGGAGCGTGGTGGGGCCAGCAGGGGGCGCTCTCCCCTGGCAGTCAGGGTTGGTCCCTAGGGGGCACTGGGCTGCAGGGAGTGGGGTGGGGCCAGCAGGGGGTGCTCTCCCCTGGCAGTCAGGGTTGGTCCCTAGGGGGCACTGGGCTGCAGGGCGTGGGGTGGGGCCAGCAGGGGGTGCTCTCCCCTGGCAGTCAGGGCTGGCCCATTGCCCCAGGGCGGCGCTAGGGGGCGCTGTGCACAGGGAGTGGGGTGGGGCACTCAGCAGGGGGTGCTCTCCCCTGGCAGTCAGGGCTGGTCCCAGGGTGGCACTAGGGGGCGCTGTGCTGCAGGGAGTGGGGTGGGGCACGCAGCAGGGGGCGCTCTCCCCTGGCAGTCAGGGCTGGTCCCAGGGTGGCACTAGGGGGCGCAGGGAGTGGGGTGGGGCACTCAGCAGGGGGCGCTCTCCCCTGGCAGTCAGGGCTGGCCCCATTGCCCCAGGGTGGCACTAGGGGGCGCTGTGCTGCTGTCTCTTGGGTAAGATGTGAAACTGAGGCCCGGGCTCCTGGCCTGTCCCGTGGGGGCCGGTGTTCGTCTGGCCCCTGGTCGCTCTAGCTGCGTCCCTAAATCCCGCTGGGCTCCCGGGGCCCCAGGGCTGTTCCCTGCCGGGCCCGGCCCCAGCGTGGGGTGACGGGGCTGGCAGGGGCTGCGGGTGCTGTGCCTGGGGTGGAGCGAACCCCGTGGGGGGCAGACTGAGCCGGTGCCTCTCGCCTTCCCCACAGAGGGACTGTCACAATTACATCAAGATCCTGCTGCAGCTGAACAGCAGCCACCTGTACGCCTGCGGGACCGGCGCCTTCAGCCCTGTGTGCACCTACCTCGTGAGTCCCCGTGCAAGCTCCGCCCGGCCCCTCCCCGTGCAAGCTCCGCCCGGCCCCTCCACTGCCCCACTCCCCCTGCAGGGAGCACTGGCTTGGGGGCTCTTCCTGCACCCGTGGCCAGGCTCGGAGACAGCACAAGTCCCTGTCACCCCAGGGACAGAGCTCACTATTCCCGCCCCTTCCGCCCCAGCTGGGCGACGCTCTGCTGCCCAAGGGAAGAGCTGAGCAGCCTTGGGCCAGGAGCAGAGTTAGGGGGCAGCATGTGGGCCCCAGAGCCGATCCCTCCTGCACCCAGTTCTCCCGGGTGGGACTCCAGGCCCAGCTCTGAGCCCTGGCAGGGCCGTGGCGAGGGCCCTGGGGTGTGATGGGGCAGCAGGAGGGACTTGGATGGACTCAGTAACCTGCCCAGTGAAATACCCTGGGGACGTGAGGAAAGGGCAGGAGACACCACACCTGCATTCCCCCGGCTCCTGCCCTCCTCCTGGCCCCACCTCTCCCCCCCTTCCCCCCCGACTCTTCCTGGTCAGAGCATCCTCTCCTCTGCAGAATGTGCAGAACTTCAGCCAGGCGAGGGAGCTGCTGCTGGAGGACGGGAAAGGCCGCTGCCCCTTTGACCCCGAATACAAATCCACTGCCATCATGGTCGGTAAGGAGGGGCTGGTACCTCCCCGGGGTGGGGGCGGGGATGGGGGGGAACAGCTGTGCACCCCGCGGCCCGGCCTGTGGATGAGGAACAGCCAGTGGAGATGGAGCCAGTGGGGTGACGCTGGTCCCCTGGCAGAGGGACACGTGGTGCCCACCGCTGCCAGGCCGGGCCATAGGAGGTGCCTGGGAGCTCTGTTCTCTCTGTCCCCTCTGGCCAGATCGATACGCGCCTTCGGCTGGACGCCAGCAGCGGGATAGACCTGGCACAGAGCACTGCAGCACGGTTCCCTGGCGGGGGCTTGGAGAACCCCCTGGCGCAGCCGCCCTGAATGAGGGGAGATGGCAGCTGGATCTGCTCCAGACCCAGTGCCAGCAGCGGGGAGGGAGAAAGGAACCGGTCCCTCCTTATACCAGCGGGTCTGTCTTTCCCCGGCAGATGGTGAGCTCTACGCTGGGACCGTCAGCGACTTCCAGGGCAAGGAGCCGACCATCTACCGGAGCCAGGAGAGCCGCATCTCCCTCAAGACCGAGAACTCCCTCAACTGGCTGCAAGGTGCAGGGCTGCTAGGGCAGGGCCCGATCCCAGGCACACCTGGACAGGGGCGAGCAACAGGCGGCCCAGACAAGCTCCAGGAGCACGAGGAGGTGTCCGCCAGGGGGCTTAGGCTGCTGGTCCCAGTCAGACTTTGCCTCTCGCCTTGGGCTGCCCTCCTGTCCCCTCTCCCAGGCTAAGCAGGGCTGGCCGGGGTCACTGCTTGGCTGGGAGCCCCCCAAGGCAAGCTCAGCTTCCTTCCTTCCGGTCACTGCCATACTCCTCCCCAGAGGAGGCTGCATCTCGGCCCCAGCGACGAATTGCCCAGACTCCAGGATGCTCTGGGGTCCCAGGGGGCTGACACTGAGGGCTCTGTATTTGGGATGCAGACCCAGCCTTCGTGGGCGCAGCCTACCTGCGGGAGAGCCTGCCGCCTGGCAACTCCGAGGGGGATGACGACAAGGTGTACTTCTTCTTCAGCGAGACCGGCAAGGAGTTCGACTTCTTCGAGAACACCATCGTGTCGCGGATCGCCCGCGTGTGCAAGGTGAGCCGCGTACTGTCCTCGGGCACAGCGGGTCTGTGTGTACGTGCCAGGGAGGCTGTGTGATGGGCTCGGTCACATGTGCAAACTGATGCAGGTAGAGTCACACCTGTGCGAGGGGAGGCCGTGCATGTGTCACTCATGGCCCCACCCAATGTGCTTGTGGCTGGGCCTGCAGCGCCCCCTGCTGCCCACAGAGCTCACCTGCTTCTCCAGGCTCTGCTTTTCTGGTGCAACCGCCCGTCTCTGCTGCACTGGGGGCCCAGGGCAGCGCAGGGTGACGCCTGCTCTCTCCTTGGCAGGGGGACCTGGGCGGGGAACGGGTGCTCCAGCGGAGGTGGACCACGTTCCTCAAGGCCCAGCTCTTGTGCTCGCGCCCCGACGACGGGTTCCCCTTCAACGTGCTGCAGGACGTCTTCGTGCTCACGCCGGACGAGCGGCGCTGGAGGGACACTGTCTTCTACGGCGTCTTCACCTCCCAGTGGTGAGCGCGGGCCAGGGCCCTGCAGCTGGCTCCAGCCAGAGACGCTCAGACCCAGACCAGGGCGTCTCCCTGAGGCACTGCCAGCAGAGGGGTTGGCCTGGGTTAGCAGAGGGGGGTGGGGAATGGGACCTGGGGCCTTTCCCGTCTAGGGGGCACTGGCTCCCATCCGGCCCCACGGTGCGGGACTGGCTGGCTCAGGGGGACGGGGAATGGGACATGGGGCCTTTCCCCACTAGGGGCCGCTCCCTGCAGCTGCTGACGGCTCTTCCCCTCCCGTTGTGTCCCAGCTGTTGGCCTGGTCCAGGTGCTGCGGGGAGCTGTGTGTCAGGGTGGATTGTGCCCAGCCTGCAGGGGCTGAGCTGTCTGCAGGGGCCGTGCAGGGGCCGGGTGTCTCCGGGTGGTTCCAGGACCCTTTTTCGCTGCTGATTTCCCCTCTGGTGCCAGGAACAAAGGGGGCCCGGGCAGCTCGGCAGTATGTGCCTTCGCCATGCACGACGTGCAGAAGGCCTTCGGCGGGCTCTACAAGGAGGTGAACCGTGAGACGCAGCAGTGGTACACAGACACCGGCCCTGTGCCAGAGCCCCGGCCCGGAGCGGTACGTCCCCCTCTCCCAGCACAGCGGGCAGGACTTGCCCCAAACCTGCCTGCTCCTTGGGGCACTGGACTCTCCAGCCTGGTCACATCAACACAGCCTGAGCCAATCCACACTGCCACCTTCCAGCGCCCCCCAGCCCCTGGGCGTCTTCCTTGAGCTCCTGGCCAGGTTGTCAGCAGGGGCCGCTGCAGCTCAGGGGGGCCAGGAGAGGCTGTGTGAAAGGCGCCAGCACTCAGCCCCTGCCCTCACTAATGCCCCCTGCTGGGGCTGTGCACTGGGACCGCAGGCCGTGGGGCTGTCCCGGTGCTGCAGGGCTGTGCTGTCCGTGTGTCTAGCTCTCTTCCTCTCTGCCCCACCAGTGCATCACCAGCCGCACGCGGCACATGAGGATCAACTCCTCTCTCCAGATGCCAGACCGCGTGCTGAATTTCATCAAGGACCATTTTCTGATGGATAGTGCCATCCGGAGCCAGCCGCTCCTGCTGCAGAGCCGCGTGCACTACCAGCAGATCTGCGTGCAACGCGTGCGGGGCCTGCACCACGCCTACGACGTCCTCTTCCTGGGCACAGGTGGGTCTCCCTAGGGAGCTCGTGGGGGCCAGCCAGGCAGGGTGTTCCCAGCCCGGGTGGCTCTGCTCAGTGCCCCCTGCTTTGTGCGTTGCAGACGACGGGCGACTGCACAAGGCCGTGAGCGTGAACCAGAAAGTGCACATCATCGAGGAGATCCGCCTTTTCCACGCCGGCCACCCAGTCCACAAGCTGCTGCTGGACCAGAGCCAGGCAAGCCAGCGAGCATGATGGGAAACTCCTGCATCCTCACCCTGCCTTCCCTCAGCAGGCAACATGACCCTGGGGGACCAGGAGCCGTTCCCATACACAGCCTTGGAGCTGCCTTCTGCATGGCACTCTGCACAGCCCTGCTCCTGCTGCCCTGGGGCTGGGCACGCCCAGAGGGGCCAAGTGCTCTCGGTCAGCCTGTGGGGCAAACCGAGGGAGCCAGGGCCAAGCCTGGGCTCACTTCTCCTCTCACTGCCGAATGGCCCCCAGCATGGCTGGCTCTGGCTCCCTCCCTGGGCAGGGTTTCCTGCCCTGAAACAGGCTCATCAGGGAAAACCAACGGCCCCGTCTCCTGGGGGGAGCCAGGTGACAGGGTCTGCTCTGCAGAACTGAGGCAAACTCCATCCTCCCCGGTTTGGCTTTAGCAACAGAAACTTACAACCAGAGAGCGGCTCGGCTCAGCCCTTCTGCCCCCGCTGGGCTGCTCCAGCGCTCCTCTGCCTGCTCGGCCCACGCCCTAGAGCCTCTCTCCCCAGAGAGGTGTCCCCGCCGCCCCGCCTGGGGGGTCAGCAGAGCCCACGTACCCCTTTCCTGCCTGCCGACAGAGCGGGGATCTCGGACAGACGACAGGTAAACGTGGGTTTCAGGAATGGCACCTGCCACATAGATCCCATCCAGTGACGTCTCCTCGGTGACACACTCATGTGCACACGCAGGCCCACGCCCTCTGCTGGGGCTGGCTCTCAATCTGCTCTCTCCTGCACAGGGCTTGCTTTACGCTACCTCTTACTCAGCAGTGGCCCAGGTGCCCGTCTCCAACTGCAGCCTGTACAGGAGCTGTGGGGAGTGCGTCCTGTCCCGGGACCCCTACTGCGCCTGGAGCGGAGAGGCCTGCCGCAGCGTCGCCCAGTACCACCTGCAGCTGCACCCCCAGTAAGTGCTGGGCTTGGCCAGCCCCCGCCCCTCTCGGCTGCCGCCAGCCCCCGCCCCTCTTGGCTCGGCCAGCCACTCTCAGCCCGGCCGCCCCCACCTTCACCCCTCTCAGCTCTGCCCCCCCAGCTCGGCCCTGCTCCTCGCTCCCTCCCTGCACAGGCCGCGCTGACTGCGAATCTCCCCCTGCAGACCCTGGGCCCAGGATATCGAAGACGCCGACACGGAGAAGCTCTGCCAAGCAGGCAACGTGTCCCTGCCCATCCCCCGCCTTCTCCAACCCCCAGGTAAGGAGGCCTTGGGGCAGGACCCAGCGGGGTTGGGGTTTGCAAGCCTGCTGTGGGGCCGGGGGCTCTGGGACCTCTGCACAAGGATCCAAGAGGATCTCCCATCCCGTCCAGACTAGCTACCATTGCCCTCCGAAGGGCGGGTGGTGTCAGTGCCAGGGCCTGGCCAGCTGGGGGCGCTCAAGGAGCACACAGCTGCCGCCTCGCTCCTAGAGTGAGAACACGCCCCTCACCTGCGCGTAGACCCAGCCGCAGCATGGAGCTGGGTCCCCGATGGCCACCCCCATTCCCCCCCGTCATGGGGACATTGGGCCACATCCCAGTCGCTGCCCCGCGGGTGCCCCGGGCCTGGCGTGGGCAGGGGGAGGCGGCTGGCCGGAGCGGTTCCTGACCTGCCTGCGTGGCTTTTTGCTCCGCAGCAGAGGGACCGCAGTGCCAGCAGATCCGGCTCCTGCCCAACGCGGTCAGGCCCTTGCCGTGCCGGCTTTTGTCCAACTTGGCCTCGCGGCTGTGGGTGCACAATGGGACCCAGATCAACTCCTCCTACCTGGTGCTGCCGGACGGAGCTCTCATCCTGGTGGGCAGCCTGGAGCGCCTGGGCACCTACGAGTGCTGGTCGCTGGAGGAGGGCTTCCAGAAGCTGATGGCGAGCTACTGCGTGGGGGTGGAGGAGCTGGCCCCGGCGCTGCATGTGCCGCTGGATGCAGCGGGCAGGCCCCTGCCCGGCCAGGACGCCATGGAGACCATCAGCACCTCCCGGAGCACCTCTGCCGTGGGCAGCGTCTCCTCCCGGCACGACGGCAAGAGCTACTGGCCCGAGTTCCTGATCATGTGCGCGCTCTTCGGGGCGGCGCTGCTGCTGCTGGCGCTCTTCGTGCTCTGCCGGCACCGGGACAGCATGAAGGCCTTCCTCAAGCAGGGCGAGTGCCCCCGCGGGAGCCACAGGAAGGTGGGGCTGCCCGTCGAGAGCCTGCCCCTCAACGGCAGCAGCCTGCCCAGCACGGTGCCTGACCACAAGGGCTACCAGGCCCTGACCGACAACTACATCAGCACCCCCCCGCACGCGCCCCCGGGCGCCAGCCCGGCCTTCTCCCAGTCGGACAGGAGGCCCCTCAGCATCCGCGAGAGCTTCGTGGAGGTCTCTCCAGCCTGCCAGAGACCCCGGGTGCGGCTGGGCTCCGAAATCCGGGACTCCGTGGTGTGACCAGCCTGGGGCCATGAGCTGAGCCCGTGAGACGCACCAGCCCCGGCTCCGCTGAGCCTTCCCAGAGACCTGTGCCATCAGGACCGCAGCATGGCGGGGCTGCGTGGGGCTGCGCTGCCCCCGCCCCACCTCACCCTGCAGCCACTGACCCGGCTGTAACAATGACCTGCAAACTGCCCAGCGCCAAGCAGGGGAGGGGGGGGCCCAGCACTACGTAGCATGTTCTCGGGGAGGCAGAGCCCCTCTGTGTATCTGGGGGGCGCTCACACTCCCCTGCAGCCCTCGCCCCAGCCCTGCCACCCGTGGGACAGCTCGGGCAGCCAGGGGCCGTTGCTTGCTGCAGAAGCAGGGCGTTCCGGGAAGGCCCAGGGGCTCTGGTGCTGGGAGCGGTGCAGTGGGACCTGTGCACCTTAGTGGGGCGGAGCTGGCACGTCTAACACTGACACATGTGAGCAAGCTGCTGCCTGCATGTGGAGACCGTTCTGTGGCCAGGCAGGAGAGTTCATCTGTGTCGTATCCCCCTCGTTCCACATCCTGCTGTGCCGTCCTGGCGCCTGCCGAGAGCTGGGTCGGGGCATGTTCTGTGCGTTTGTGCTTTGGGTTGTTTTTACTATGTGACAATGTGAACTGAGCCCCGGTGAGCACATCTGAGCAGCAGCAGGCGCCGCTGTGGGGGTGCTGTCACCGTACCGGCTCACACCCTTTGTGAACATTCTTGCACAGAAATGAGTTGTTGTATCTGTCTTTTTTTATATAAAGTCCACATGTCTTGGTGAGGGGTGAGTGCATGGTTCCTGGGTGCTGCCCACGCGGGCATGGGGCATGACGGGGCTGTGAGCAGAGCTGGGCCTGCGCAAGGCACCTGTACTCAGCAGAAGCCCCTGCTTGGTGAATTGTAACCGCTCAGGCTGAAATTCCCCATGCTGGGGCTGCCTCGGCCTGAAGGCTTTGGGGAAGTTTCAGCCGTTCAAGAGCCCAGGGACAATCCATTGTAACATTTCTTGTAACCACTGGAGCTTGCAGGCTTTGGAGTGGAGGGTCCCCCTGCTGCCTTTTACTTTCCCATGAAAACTTGGCCAGGGGCAAAGGCTGGAAGGTTCCCAGCGGGGCCGTGCACAATAGCCTGCTCCATTCTCTGAAGATTGGTGTGCAAAGAGCATGCTCCAGCCCCCCCCCGGCTCCTACTGCAGGCCGTCCCCGCGGAGCGGGACCCAGCCCAGGCCAGAGGGACTTTCTCTGCAGTTGCTCCTCCCGGGTGCAGGGCCTTCTGTCACGGAGTCCCCAGGCGATGCTCTGGAACTGCTCCCCGCAAAGCCAGTCAGGACTTTGGGGAGCCTCCTCTCCCTTGGAACAGACAGTCTTCAGGCCAAGAAGCTCACACGGCTTCACCTCCTTGGAGCATTCAGCATATGCCCCTCCATCGTCACTCGACCACACTCCTGTCCTGTCTCCCCAGTGCTTGGCTCTCAGGCCTTGGCTACACTTACCCGGTAGTTCGGCGGCGAGCGATCGAACTTCTGGGTTCGACTTATCGTGTCTAGTCTGGATGCGATAAGTCGAACCCGGAAGTGCTCGCCGTCGACTGCGGTACTCCAGCTCGGCGAGAGGAGTACCGCGGAGTCGACGGGGGAAGCCTGCCTGCCGCGTATGGACCAAGGTAAGTTCGAACCAAGGTACTTCGAACTTCAGCTACGTTATTCACATAGCTGAAGTTCCGTACCTTAGTTCGAATTAGGGGGTTAGTGTAGACCTGGCCTCAGTAACCAGCTGGGAAACACGATGGCAGATGTGGTCTCTTCTCCCCAGCAGCTGAGAACCGCCTACCTCTCAGGGGGTTCTCCAGGGAGCTGTCGGTGGCTCCCAGGCGGAGCTGAGAACCTGCTCATCCAAGCTGCAAGTGCTCTGGCGACAAGGCAGAGTGTGAGGGGCTGTGCACAGTGCCTGCGGCTCTCGGCAAGCGGGGCAGGAGCTGCTCCCAGAAGCTGATTTTAAATGAGCTCTTGTGAAATGTTAGGGGTCAGGTACGGGCTACAGCTGACCGGCCAGCCTTGTGTGACCTATAAGGCTGTGGCAACGTTCATGTGTAGTGATGTCGTGGTAACGAAAGGCTGTACGTTCTGTTTCAAACCTTCTTTCAGCCAAATGCCCCCATTTGGTTTGCCTGGGCCTGGCTGCTGCCCCTAACGCCAGGCCCCAGAGCTGCAGCTCCGTGGCAGGACCCTTTTCTCTCCGGGGTAGCAGTATTTGGCGCTTTTACAACTCTCCGGCTCCCCCGGCCGCACCCCCTTGGCAGCACTGCGCACAGATCCTGCGGGCTGGCCGGCCGTGGGGCACCACAGGCCGTAGGTGTGTGGCGGTGCTGTTAGCGAGAGGGACCCATGACCTGTGAGGCAGTGCGGGATCACACCACAGGCTGGACCTCTGCACTGTTCTCCGCCAGCACCCCGCGGCCAACTGGATCCCACGGCCTCGTGCACCACACGGGACAGCGAAGAGCCCCCCATTCCCTTTGCTATGTTGAAAAGGCCCCTAGCTGGTGAGGGGAATCACCGAGCTGTCAGTGGGCTCCTAGAAGGGGAGGGAGATGTAATAGGAACAGTGAAGAGAGGGAGAGAACTCAGGGCTCAGTAACCCCAGGGAGCTGGGAGGGCAGCAGCAGGGGGGTAGGGATAGCTCAGTGGTTTGAGCATTGGCCTGCTAAACTCAGGGTTGTGAGTTCAATCCTTGAGGGGGCCACTTAAGGATCTGGGCAAAATCTAGTACTTGGTCCTGCTAGTGAAGGCAGGGGGCTGGACTCGATGACCTTTCAAGGTCCCTTCCAGTTCCAGGAGATAGGAGATCTCCATTAATTTATTTATTAACCCCCTCCCCTAATGATGGGGCGGGAGAGATTATAGGCTCTGGCCCGACACATTCAGCCCAGGAATCAGCACTGCCCCCTCGCGTGTTCCAGGTGATGGCAGGTTGCCCAGAGCCATAGCCCAGGGGGTGCTCCTCCTGTGTGGGTGGGGAAACCAACCCCACACATCTCCCTAGAGAGCTATCAGTTCTCTGCGTGCACACGCACACACACACACAGGGGTAAGACTCCAACTCTTTATTAATTCTCCATACATGGCTGAGCAGCCCCCCGCCCCGTGCAGAGTACTGCAGGCCCTCCCTCCCACGGTGGGGGAGCGCCCAGCAGAGTGGCACAGGGACATCAGCTGCTTTACCACATGTAAGAAAGGGTAGAAAGAAAGAAAAGAAAAAACACCCTGAGTCTTTGCTCCCCAGCCAGGCACTAGCACTGTGTCAAGCAGCAGCAGGCAGGGGGGGACCGCAGAGTGGAGCGTTCTGCCTGACGGCCATTGCCTTCCCCTGGCCTGCAGCAGCTGCCTAGCAGGGGAAGGACCCAGGGCCAGGGGGCCTGACAACAGGAATCAGCGGCTGCTTCGGGAAGGGAGGTACAGCACCAGCAGACACTGACTTGCAGGGCAGATTGGGAGCAGCACAGGCGGAAGCTTTACAAGTCAGTTCTCAGCTGTGGCCCTGCCCGCTGCCAGCCCTGTGAATGCTGGGGCCTGTGCCAGGCCCCCCAGGACCTCCCCCCCGCAGACTCTGGCTGAGTAGAAAGCTGTGCGTGGACCTACGAGAGGGAGTTGGAAAGTTACAGAAACACGCTGGCCAGAGCTGCTGGGCTGCAGCATTGTAAGGTGCCCCTTACCCTATTGCATAGTCAAACAAGCCCCTTGTGCTGCATCCCTTTGCCTGACCCCTCAGGGAGCCAGCCAGGCCTGCCGCATCCTCAGGGGCTCTTGCCGGAGTCCTAGCTGCCCGTTTGCTCGTGGAAGGCACAAAGAGGCTTGGGAGGGTGAGCCCTGGATTATCACCAGGCCCCAGCAGGAGTTCCCTTCTCCAGCTCAGGATGTCCAGGGCAGGCCAAGAGGACTGCACCTGGTTTGCATAGGAGTAAGCCCCTGAAAATATAGCCCATGGAGACTAGAGATCCCAGCAGCCTCTGCTCTGATCCAGGTATGGCTTGACAGGCTGGGACCTGTAGTCTCCGTGGGCCAGGCGTTTGTTGGAAGCACAAGGCAGCTGCATTAAGGAGCCTGCAGACCAAGAAGAGCACAGAAGGCACAGCATACTGGGCAGGAGAGGCCTTGCCCCGTGGAGCCCTGCATAAGGCACTATGGAAGGAGTGCTCCTAGACACTGGACTCCTAGCACGATCCTGGAGTCACCAATATTATTGCATCTGTTTGCCAGAAGGGGAAGGATCCAGCCCCTGCGCAGAGATGGTGCAGAGCCGCACAGCAGGCTAGGAAGGGACAGCCAGCCACAGGACACCTCCGATTGAAGGGACGTGGCGCCATCACAGCACGATCTTGAAGGAACTGAAAGAGACACAGTGACCAGCCCATTCTCATGCTGTGCCACAGGGGAGCTACTCGCTGGGGGCTCCAGTGCTGGGCACGGGAAGGGCTGTATGTAACATGGCGTGAAAGGAGCTCAGAGGGGACATGGCAGACCCAAGCAGAATGCAGCTGGTGTTTGAGACATGATTCTGGACGTCTCCTGCCAATGGCTCGAGGGGGGGGCGCCCTGGATACCCTGAGCATGGTCAGACAGCCCCCATCAAGCTAGAGGAGTCGAGTGGCCAGGGAAGGGGGCGCGTGAGCTCTGGAATGGGGCAGGAGGGCAGTCTGGTGCGTGAGGCTCAGGACTAGAAGACGGGAGAGCTGGGTTCTCCTGCTGCCACGGTGTGACTGTAGGCAAGCAAAGCCTGTGCCTCTATCCTCCCGTGAAAGGAGAAGGCCCTGCTGCGGCCCGGCGGCGCTCGTTCGGTTTGCGAAGCAGGAAGGATGGGCCGGTGGGAACGAGACTGGCCTGGGAGTTAGAGCCATGGATTCTACTCCCAGCTCTGCTACAGCCTCCCTGTGCAACTCTGGCGAGTCGCTCCCTGCCCCACCTGCAGCATGGACAGAACAGCCCTTCCCCCCGCTCCGCCAGCTGCGTTCTGTCTGCGAGCTCCTCGGGCAGGCACTGGCTCTGTGCTTACATACAGCTCCCGGCAGAAGGCGCTGGAGACCAGACAAATGAGTGGAGCACCTAGGCACTGCCACAATACAGCTCGCTAGGAAGGGGTCAGGAGCCGCAGCCCCATTGAACTGGGACTCAGGTGCGTAGGAAGTGTTCCCCGAGCATTGCAAGGCCTCAGTGGACAGGGCTAGAGATAGGCAAAGGTTTCTTCACTGTTATAGGAGACTTTTTAGAGCACGTCTGCGCTTTTAGCCCTGCTACCAGCTGGGAGAGGTGTGTCCACTCTGCACAGAGAGTTAAGCAAACCCCCATTCCACCCACTGGCTAGCTTTCCCTCCCTAGCAAGCACTGGATTTTCTCCAGCCAGACACTGCAGCAAGCAGTTGAGACAGAGGTACCTGGCAAAGTCTGGTGATCGAGAAATGACATGCTGGAACTCAGAGAGGTTAATGGTCCCATCCTTGTCAATATCGGACTCCTCCAGGATCTGTCAGGGAAAGGGAAACACCAGCCCTCAAAGCCTGCTTGAGCAGCCCCACGCAACAGGTCCAGCAAGCCCTCCTGGCCAAGCCCCACAGACTCACGTTCTGGATGAGCTGGTCCATCTCTGACTCACTCAGCCTAGTCTCATCTCCTTCCCCTGTCAGGCAGTTCACCAGCTTCTCCAGGTCCTTCCTGTCCAGGGTCCCATCGTCATCAAAATCTTTGGGGGGAAACGTCCAGGTTACCATCAGAGGCACTTGCCCATGAGA